AACAGGATCCATGGAATTCTAGTTAATTGAATAATAACTTTGAACTACTGGTTTGACTGTGGATTATTTCCTGGGTATTAGTGGGACCCAAGAGCACATTGCTATTAATATATGGAAATAATGGTCTCTCTGCTTCAGTGAATTAATGAAGTAATGATAATACCATGAACCAGGAGAAGATGGTTGGGGGGTTCTAGGAAGCAGCTGCTATGATGGGCCAATCCCAGGCTTGCCCCGGAGCCCTCTCTCCCTTCTGGGTTTGTGTTTGCCTGGCCTGGCTCTTCCTCCCTCATTGTGCTGTTGAATGGACCCAGGCAGCCTTGTATCCATAGACAACCTTCACTCTTGGGGGTAAGGGCCCTCTGGAAATCAAGCAGAGAAAGCCCTTGCAGTCGTTTCCCGGGCATTGGGCAGAGCCTAGCCCTTTGCAGCCCCCAGAGGACTTCCCTGCATAAAGCACTTGGTGGGGTTAGCCACCTGGTGATTCTGTCTAGTGAAAATGTTTGCTGATAATATCCACATAGCCTTCTCTGTCCTCGCCGTTTGGATGCCTCTTTTTCACCTGCGTTAGGTTCTTGTACTTTTTATGCTGGCTTTTCTTAAAGGAACACCAGAGTAGAAAAGGGGTTAAGAATGTTTTCTAGCAGGCAGGATGTGCATACATGGTTTTTATGAGTGTCCTTTGTGTGCTGTTTCTTTTAAATCCTCCATGCACAGGGCTCCGGCCTTTAGTAAACCCTGTTTTTCTGTCTTACGCCATGCTGGCTGGGTGGTAGGGGCTGATTGCAAAGGGGAAGAGTTGAACAGACATCAGGGGCCGATGAAATCAAAGGACTAGGAGTCAGGAGAACAAGGCAGGGACTAGGAGACAGTGGTTTGGTTTATTGTTATCCAGCTGGAGGACTCATAGGGGCAGCAGCAGGAGGAACACGGGGGCCAGGGAGGGGCCAGGAGTCCCACAGTGGAGGGCAGAGTCTTTCAACAGGGGCCAGCTGAATGCTCGCTGACCCTGGATGTCATGTGAGTTGGGGACCAGAAATCTGGGCTCAGAGAACCCGTCCAGGGAGATTTGAAGCCATGGGTTATCTTCTAGAGTTGATGCTGACACCAAGTTTTAATTTTTATTGATGTTTAACACCTTCTAAAACAGGAGGGTGAGATCAGATGGCAAGCCCCTCTGTTGAAGGATCACGGGAACCTTGGTGTTTTTTGGTTGAGTTATGCACAGCTGTGGACATCCTTCTTAATTCTCTCCACTCTGAGGATTTGTTTAACTAGAAAGTTCCCAGACACAGAAATGGCCTCCCCACCTCCTTAGGGGAGCTGTCTGCTGGGAGTGCCAGGCGTCCCATGGGACCCATCACTGCCAGTGTCTGTGCCTCCCAGAGGTCAGCCTTGTGTCTGCCCTGGCCCTGTCTCCTCTGTGACAGGGCAGAGCATTTCTGGTCAGTTTCTCTGTGGTGCCCCCTGCCCTTTTGTAAAGTGGATGGACATGGTGGAATTCAGTTGTCTAACCCTGATAACCTGGGTGTTGATATTCACTTTTCCTGCACTCAGACACGGGCGACCTTGAAGCAGCTCTCGGTGTGCAGAGTTCACGTGACAGTCCCCACAGCCTCCCCAGATAGGTGTGTGCCTGTGCGCTACTGCTGTGCCATTTCCCCAACTTGGCGTTTCACTAAATGCAGCTGATCTCCCTCTGTGCACTCGTGATCTGTGTTGAACAATACGTGTAGCTTCTTTTTCCACACAATGTAAGGACATGATATACTGTACATTGGAAAGCATTTACCTTATTTATATACCTGAATGTTCCTACTACACAAATAAACATATATTAAATTCTAGATCATGTGTGGTCTTTGATGGTGGGGGGTGTCGGAAGGCCAAGGGTGTGGATGTCTGGTCACATATGTGGAGCCAGCGTTACTTCCCAGGATGCTACTGACCACCCCCTGCTTCTAGAGACTCCCTCTGTCCTTGGCCTTTGCATCCTGCCCTCCTGGCTTTCCTCTGCCCTTGGTTGCTCCTCCTCAGTCTTCTTTCTGGGTGTCTCTCCTCTGGGCTATCCCTTGGTGGTGGCATTCTTCCTGAGGCTCTCATTCCTTCACTGAATTCTCCTCCCTGAGTGTTCCCACCTACTCCCAGGGCTCTAATCACCACACTCACTTCAGCAGTTCCCAAGTCCATGACTCTAGCCCACGTGGGCCTGAGTCCAGCTGCCTATGAGGCCTCTCATACAGACTGCGTGACAAAACCCAAACCTATGCCCTTCCTACCCCTGCCCTGAGTCAGCGTTCTTTGACTACCCATGTGTCTGTCACACAAGCCAGTAACTGGAGTGATCTCATCAACTGCCCAGGCCTGCCCGTTCTGCGTTCCAAATATCCTCGGAGTCATCCTTACTGCAGCCTTCTGGGCCAGGCCCCATCTCCTGCCAGGATTTCTAGGGCAGCCTCCAGCCCTCTCCCTGCAGCCTGGCCACCTCTGCTAATCCTTTTTTTTTGAGACTGAGTTTCGCTTTTGTTGCCCAGGCTAGAGTGCCATGGCACTATTTTGGCTCACCACAAACTCTGCTTCCTGGGTCCAAGCGATTCTTCTGCCTCAGCCTCCTGAGTAGCTGGGATCACAGGCGTGTGCCACCATGCCTGGCTAATTTTGTATTTTTAGCAGAGATGGGGTTTCTCCATGTTGATCAGGCTGGTCGTCTTGTACTCCCAAGCTCAGGTGATCCGCCTGCCTCATCCTCCCAAAGTGCTGGGATTACAGGTATGAATCACCATGCTTGGCCCCCTCTAATCCATTTCTTACATAATAGCTGGGATGAGCTCTCTCTGTTTGGAACTCTTTGGTGCCTGAGGTTAAAGTTCAGACTTGGTAACGAGGCTTCTGGGGCCATCAGTGAGCTGGCCAGTGCCCGACACACGTGTTCAGGCCCTGCCCTCACAGCCACACCTGCCGCATGTCCTTCCTTGTTCTAGGTGTGAGCCTGTCCCTGGCCTTGGCGTGTGCTGTTTCCTCTGCCCAGTTTTTTCCCTTTCCCCAGTTCCTCCTCAGCCTGCCTAACTCCTCTGTTTTTGCAGTTCTCACCATTAATAGCACTTCCTCGGGGAGGCCTTATGTTGTCTCCTCACTTACTGTGTGCCTTCTGCTCCAGGACCTTCTATTTTCGTGGGAGAGTCTGAACTCCTGGGAGCCAATGGGCCAGCCTTACCAGGGCAAATGTCTGAGGCCAGTGGGACCTGTAGATTATCTACGTTTTGGACAGGGGTGTCTGCTGTTTTTGCCCACAGGAAACCTACTACCACTGGAACTTCCACAATGAATTGCTCGCCAACATTCCAGATGCAAAAAACCCCATAAAAACCAAAGAACCCACCGCATTCATTTACTTTCCTAAACCCCACAAAATCTGACTCCAAGCCACCAGTTTCCAGGGTTGCTGAGAAACCCAACATGAGTCGTTTTCCCTGGCTGCCTTGCTCCCTTTTGTTGCGCCAGGAGCTGAGGGCTCACGTGGTGCTGGAGAAGTGGTGAGAGTCCCTGCGCTCGACTCCATCTGCTGAAGGCTCTGTTGTCCAGGACTGTGAAGTTCATAGGGCCTTGGTCGGTGGCATCAGGGCACCTGTGTAGTTGCCTGCATCTGGTGTCCCTCCATACCCAGAGCCCACGAACACTGGCCTTGATGGTTCCCCTTCCATCTCCCCTCTCCTTCTCTCCCCTCCCTTCCCTTCCCCTCTCTTCTTTTCCCCTCCTCTCCCCTCTCTCCTCTTGTCTTTCTTTTCTTTTTTTTTGAGAGTCCTTCTCGCCCAGGCTGGAGTGCAGTGGTACGATCTCGGCTCACTGCAACCTCTGCCTGCCAGATTGAAGCGATTCTCCTGCTTCAGCCTCCCAAGTAGCTGGGAATACAGGCACATGCGACCACACCTCACTAATTTTTTTGTGTTTTTAGTAGAGACAGGATTTTGCCATATTGGCCAGGCTGATCTCAAACTCCTGATCCCAGGTGATCCACCCGCCTTAGCCTCCCAAAGTGCTGGGGTTACAAGCATGAGCCACGGTGCCCGGCCAGCCTTGATGATTTCTGTGTGTTCAGCCAGCACTTGTGGAGTGCCTGCTCTAGGGTAGGCCCTCTCCAGACATTGCAACAAAAAGTCCTTGTTTCAAGGAGCTCATCTTAGGGAAGAACGACAAACCTGAGAAAACATGTTAAATAGATAAAAATGTAGCCCGGAGAGGGGAAGAGGGAATGTTGGTGGGGAGAGGTTGCCATATTAAATAGGGTGCACAGGGAAGGCCTCACTGCAGAGGTGGTGGTGGGCAAATGGGCACACCTGGAGGCTGTGGGGGAGGTAGCTGTTTGGGTGTCTGGGGAAGTGTGAAGACAGCTGTGCGATGGAGGAGTTGTAGGGATGGAGCAGGGGAGGGGGGAGGAGCACCGGCGGGAAACCCAGGGGTCCCAAGGATCATGAGTAATTACACAAGGCCAAGGCCATTGGCTTTTACTCTGAACAAGATGAGAAGGGTTGGGAGTTCAGAGCCTAGGAGTGACTCGAAGTGTTTGTTTGCAAAGGGCTGCTATGTTGAGAACAGACGCAGGGGGGCAAAGGTGAAAGCGAGATCAGAGAGGAGGCAACAGCAGCGATTCAGAAGAGAGAGACAGATACACACACACACACACACACACACAAGGCTCAGTGGAGCATGTGGCGGTGGTGCGGTGGTGAGAAATGGTCAGATTGTCAGAATCTGCAGAAGGATTAGGTATGGAGGAGAGGGATGAAGAGGAGAGTCAAGGATGGCTGTGAAGTTGGCTTGGGCAGCTGGAAGGATGGCACTGCCATTTCTGAACTGTGGACAGCTGTGGGAGGACAGGTGTAGGTGGGACGTGGATTAGAGAGGAGTTTGGACACGTTCAGTTTGAGATGGCTGTGAAATGCCCGCAGAGGGATGTCCAGTGCTGGGGAGTAGTCTGAGATGGAAATAGAAATTTGAGAGTAGAGAGAGCGGGACGTCCGGCTTCTGAGCGGTAAACTTTGTTGAGCTAACGACGAAAAAGAATTAAATATGGGTGATGTTGAGAAAGGCAAGAGGATTTTTATTCAGAAGTGTTCCCAATGTCACACCGTGGAAAAGGGAGGCAAGCACAAGACTGGACCTAATCTTCATGGTATCTTTGGGCGGAAGACAGGTCAGGCCTCTGGATTCACTTACACTGAAGCCAATAAGAACAAAGGCATCATCTGGGGAGAGGATACACTGATGGAATATTTGGAGAATCCCAAGAAGTATATCCGTGGAACAAAAATGATCTTTGTCGGCATTAAGAAGAAGGGAGAAAGGGAAGACTTAATAGCTTATCTCAAAAAAGCTACTAATGAGTAATAATTGGCCACTGCCTTATTTATTACAAAACAAATGTCTCATGACTTTTTTATGTGTACCATACTTTAATAGATCTCATACACCAGAATTTACATCATGAATGACTGACAGAATATTTTGTTGGGCAGTCCTGATTTAAAACTAAGACTGGCTTGTGGTTAAATGAGTATGTTCAGTTTTTGGATTTTAATAGTAATTCTAATTTAGTAAATTCTATCACTGTTTACCCCTTCTAAAGATATGATTAGACTTCGTTAGTAATGTTAAATTTTTCACAAAGATGGTGAGTGCTATCTTAAAACTTACTGGAGATTGGTTTTATATTTAGATTTATATAACTGGTTATGTGAATATATTTAAATATGGGGGAAATTCCTTCACTGTCTCAGAACCAAGCAAGATTCACCTGTGTTTTGTGTTCATTTGCCTCTTAAAGGCAAGGGTTGAAGATAAATGGGTAGCAATGGCTATGATATATTTTTGGCCTTAACTATGCCAATCTAATTAGAATTTCCTGTATTTAAAATGGTTCCTTTTACTTATTGAAAGGCATTTTATGTGGTTTATGTGTAATATCAAAAATTATTTAACACTTCAAACATTTTATAGATGATCTATAAGGTCACATGCTTTTAAAATAGTAGCCTATTAAACTTCACTCTCGGATTCTTTACAATATAAGTCAAACTAAGTTATAATTTAGGATTGTCTTTAAACAGCCATTCAGAAACAAAACTGTACAGCTGCTGTGTATTTGTGATTGGGAATGGTGCTTTTGCCAACTTAAAGGGATTAAAGTAGAGGAGATATACACAAATTTAAAAATGATGTGTGATCATAAGACTTAAGATAATTAAAAAGAAAACCACAGATCAAAAAAAAAAAAAAAAAAAAGAAATTTGAGAGTAATCAGGGTGTGGACGTTATTCTACACCAGGAGCCAGGAGACTGGATAAAGTCATCCACAGAGAGGAGCTGAGGTCTGGAGATGAGCCTCTCTATTGTTTTGGACTTGGGGATCTACTTCTTTTCAGCTAGGGCTACTCCCTTCCCTTCAATAAGACAATCCAGCCTTAAGACCTGGGGAAAGACCTAGGTAGACTTGCCTTCAGGTGGCCCCACTCCCACCTGACAGCAGAAGCAGCTATTAATTTCCCCCTGGGGCCAGAATTCTAGAGGCCTGGGTGTGTGCCTCCCAGTGCCTCTGCCTAGGACTTCTTCTGTCTTTTCTTTTTCTTTTTGAGACAGAGTCTTGCTCTGTGACCCAGGGTATAGTGCAGTGGCGCGATCTTGGCTCACTGCAGCCTCTGCCTCCTTGGTTCAAGCAATTCTCCTGCCTCAGCCTCCCGAGTAGCTGGGATTACAGGTGCCCACCACCACGCCTGGCTAATTTTTTGTATTTTTTAGTAGAGATGGTGTTTCACCATGTTGACCAGGCTGATCGTGAACTCTCTGACCTCAGATGATCCACCTGCCAGGGCCTCCCATAGTGCTAGGATTACAGGTGTGAGCCACCTCGCCCAGCCTCTTGTCTTCTTACACCTCTGAATAGACTGAATCTTCTTCCTCTTTTGCATGACGCATGTCTACAATTATTATTTTTTGAGACGGAGTTATGCTCTGTTTCCAGGCTGGAGTGCAATGGCACAATCTTGGCTCACTGCAACCTCTGCCTTCTGGGTTGAAGTGATTTTTCTGCCTCAGCCTCCCAAGTAGCTGGGACTACAGGTGTGCAACACCACACCCAGCTAATTTTTGTATTTTTAGTAGAGACAGGGTTTCACCATGTTGGCTAGGATGGTCTCTATCTCTTGACCTCATGATCTGCCTGCCTCGGCCTCCCAAAGTGCTGGGATTACAGGCATGAGCCCCCACACCTGGCTTACGGTGATTCTTAAGTGCCTCCTGCCCTTCCCTTTGCTGCCCAGCCTTCTCTTCCCAAGTTCTCCATCTTGTTCTTTTTACTCTTCCTCATGAGAAATGCCTCCCATTCCCTTCACTATGCTGCCCAGTTCTGCATACCCACAAGCTTATCCTTTTTGGGGGTCCCAAGTCACTGCCTGTGGTTGTGCACCAGTGTGTGTGTTGGAGGGGGCATGCATGGGATCCTGTGGGCATTGGAGACTCCTGTAGCCACGCCCAAGAGTGAGCTTCTTCCCTGCTGTAGTCTCACGGACCCCTAGATTCCCTGTCTACCATGCTGTTTGTTAGGAAGCAGGGCCAGGAGGGGGCCCTCTGGTAATCTGTCAGTTACCAGAGAACCTCCTGAATCTGGGGAGCTGGGGTTGGTGGCTTCCTGAAGTTGCAACTATTTAACTTTGTATTTTGAATAGTTTTAGACTTACAGAAAAGTGGTAAGAATAGTATAAAAAATTTCCTACAACCTTCACCCAAATTTTCCAAATGTTAACATTTTGCCACATTTGTTTGTATTATCTCTCCACACACACTTTTTTCCTGAGTTATTTGAAAGTCGTAGACATTATGCCCCTTTACTGTTATATAGCCTTATTCAGATTTCACCAATTATCCCAGTAATATCCATCATAGCAAAGAAAAAAAATATGTGTGTGTGTATATATGTATATATTTTTTGAGATGGAGTTTTGCTCTTGTTGCCCAGGCTAGAGTACAATGGCGCGATCTCACCTCACTGCAACCTCCGCCTCCCGGGTTCAAGTAATTCTCCTACCTCAGCCTCCCAAGTGCTGGGAGGCACCACCACGCCTAGATAATTTTTTGCATTTTTGCATGTTGGTCAGGCTGGTCTTGAACTCCTGACCTTGGTGATCCAACGGCCTCAGCCTTCCAAAGTGCTGGGATTACAGGTGTGAGTCACCACGCCCAGCAATACGTATGTTTTTGACTGGTGCAACTTGAACTCTGCAGGAGCTTTGAGAACAAGAAATACCCTCCCTGCTTCCTTCCTGGCTGCCCCTTCCCTGTTGTGATGGAACCGCCTGGGGCCGCTGTTGTAGAGAGGCCTAGGTAAGATGTGGTACCCAGCATAGTGAGGCAGTGCTGTCATGAGCCCAGCAGAGGGCAGTGGTGGTTCAGGAGTGAGGCACAGGCAGGCCTTGGGAGTGAGACATTTATCCACAGAGGATCCTGGCCCAGCATTCACTAGCTTTGTGATCTTGAACAAAACCCTTAACCATTCAGCTTCCGCCTCTATAAAATAAGGATAATTGAGAACATTTGCAAAGCACATGTCCACTCCTAGCATCTAGTAATCATCCAATAGATAGTTTTATTTGCACTATTTTAAACTTTTATTTGTAATATTACCACCTTGGCTGAGAAGTGAATTTCTCAGGGATGCCGGGGAGGAAGCAGAGAAAGTTTCCAGTGAAGGCAGAGGCAGGGCTGGGCATTGAGGCTGTGGGCACAGAGAGGGAGGGAATGAAGGGGAGGGGAATGAAGTGGTAGCCGTGGCTAACCTTATGTTGAACACACCAAAGCCAGCTCAAACTAAAATTCACACTGGAATGCTGGCTGAGTATTTTATGGCATTGTCCAGGTGCCCATCAGGTGCTAGAACTTCCTCCATAGCCATCCTTACCAAATCCATGAAGGAGAAACAGCTTGTCTTCCATTCAGGCTGGGGAAGTGCCTGAGTTTGATTCCTGACTCCATCCCTTAGTGGCTGTGTGGCCTTGGGCAAGTTATTTAACCTCTCTGTGCTTCAGTCTCCTTGTCTGCAAAACAGGAGATAATACCATTTATGCTATATGTGGATTATACTCACCCCCATGATCATTGTGAAGATTAAATAAGTTAATACTTTCAAAGAGCTTAGACTAGCTTCTGGCACACAGTGAGTTTTCATAAATATTATTATTACTGTTATTACTTCAGTATCTCTTCCCACTGGCACCCCATTTTCTTCCTGATCGGAGTGCTTGGCCTTTCCTTTTTTTTTTTTTTTTTTTTGAGGTGGAGTTTCACTTTGTCGCCAAGCTAGAGTGTAGTGGTGCTACCTTGGCTCGCTGCAAACTCAGCTTCTCAGATTAAAGCAGAACCTCAACCTCATGAGTAGTTGGGATTACAGGCACTGCCACCACATCCGACTAATTTTTGTATTTTTAGTAGACGGGATTTCGCCATATTGGCCAGGCCAGCCTCGAACTCCTGACCTCAAGTGATCTGCCCATCTCAGCTTCCCAACATATTAGGATTACAGGTATGAACCACTGCACCTGGTCGCTTGGCCTTTTCATATCACCCCCGAGGTGGTCCCATTCTGGGTGAGGGAGTTACTCTTGGGATCTGGGTCTCCCTGCCCCTGAACATAGCTGTCGCCCAAGTGGCTGCTCATACTGACCTCTACAGAGCCATCAGTCAAACTTGAAGGATTGTTATCTGACCAAAGACTTTCTATCTGTTCATTATTTATTGCTGCAAACACACCAGAGGTGAAAAGCAAACAGTAGGGTCATGTCAAAATGAGGCAGAGCCAACAAGAAGAGATTCCCAAAGATAGAACATTTTGAACATCAATAAGGGTCATAACTGCAATTGATGGAAACACATTGATTATGTTTAATTATATGAATTCATAATAATGCCTAAATTCATGTGATCAGTTTTAGAGGATGTGGGCAAGCCAACTCTATTTCTAAAACTAGTAAATGAAGGGAAAGAATCAAGCACTTACCCTGCCTTTTCTAAATAAACTGTACCATTGGTGTTAAATACTTGTTTTCTAAAAAATATTATTTTGATATATAGAGATGGTATCTTGCTATGTGGCCAGGCTCGTCTCGAATTCCTGGCCTCAAGCAGTCCTCGCACCTAGGCTTCCCAAAGTGCTAGGATGACAACTGTGAGTTACCATGCCTGGCCTAAATACCTGTTGCGTAAAGATGAACCAAGTAGTAGTCTAGGTAGTAATTTTTAAGCTGGTAATTACAATGACAGAATTAATTGCAGAGAAAACAGGCCTACACCCATATGGCCACTTGATTTATGCAAAGGTGATAGTGCAGTGGGCACAAGGTGGTCATTTTTTTTGAGACAGGATCTTGCTCTGTCGCCCAGGCTGTAGTGCAGTGGCGCGATCATAGCTCATGGCAGCCTCAATCTCCTGGGCTCAAGAGATCCTCTACCTTAGCTTCCCAAGTAGCTGGGACTACAGGTGTGTGCCACCATGCCTGAATAATTTTTAACTTTTTTTTCTCTAGCGATGGGGTCTTGCTATGTTGATCAGGCTGGTTTTGAACTCCTGGCCTCAAGCAATCCTCCAGCCTTGGCCTCCCAAAATGCTGGAATTACAGGCATGAGCCAGTGCGCCTGACCAGTCTTTTCAATAAACCTGCTGGACCAATTGTATGTTCATGTGAAAAATTACCTCACACCATACAAAAAAAAATCCAGATGGATTTTTAAATCCATCTAAATGTGAAAGGTAAAGCAATAAAGCTTTGAAGAAAACATAGGAAACCACCTTTATGACCTCAGAGGAGGCAAAGATTTCTTAAACATGACACAAAAAGGCTCACTATAAACGAACATAATTGATAAATTAGACTAAAGGGCCACTATATTAGGTA